AAGGGTTTGTTTACTTTTTTCTTTCAAAAACAAAAATCATTTTTGGTGACTTGGTATACCCTAACTCTATACCAAGTGGCGACTCCATTTTCCATTCAAAAAACCCTTTTTGAACTATATTTTTGGACAAACCGTCGCATTTCACAATCCCGCGGCCTTTTATTTTCACTTTCACACACGTTCACATACATCTCTTACACACTATTTCAAAAAGTGGGCGCGACATTGTGACCCGTGGTGGTAAAGTGAAGCAAACTGCCCAAAGAAAACTGGTTACTCCAACTGCTGAATCATCTGATGAGCAGATGGAAGGGCAGAACTCTGAAGGGAACATTGTTGGTGGAAATGAGGAACCAGAGCAGGCTACCCAGGGTGATGAAACTGTCACAAGGTCCTCTGCTAAAAGAAAGAGGACTGCAAAGAGGAAGAGCACTCCCCAATCCAAGAAAAAGCAATCTGCTGATCCCTCTGATGATCAGCAGAATGAAGGAAACACTACTGGGAGTCAGCATACTCCTGAACCCTCCACCAGGAAGTCTCCAAGGACAAGAACTGAGGCTCAAAATGTAGGGGCATCTGCCACACAAAACTCAAATAGGAAACGTTCTGGAAAGGTTCCTGTGTCTCAGCCAGTAGAAGAACCCACTCCTCTTCCAAAATTCATTGATGATGAAGCCAGAGACAGATTTGAGTTAGTCTCTCAAAAAGGGTTTATCACCCAAAGTTTTATCCTTCCCTATGAATTTCGTAAGCTTGATCTTGAACCCGTTATTAAATTGTTTGAATTTCAGAAATGGACTCATCTTCTGACCATTCCTAATGTCTTTTACCCTGACATGCTTTATCAATTCTTTGCTAACCTTAAAAAGGGTAAATCACACACTGAACTCATCTCTAGGGTCAATTCTGTAGACATCATGTTAACCCCTGACATTGTGAATTTCATTCTGAAAACCAGTATTGAACCTGGTTTCAAAGGAAAAATTACAAATTTCTTTTCGTATGAGGAATTTCCATCTACCTACCATCATTTTCACAATGCTAAACTTATGACCTTTTTTCAAACCACATTCAATACTCCTACTGAAGCAAGACTGGATGATCTTAGTCCTCAGAATCTGATCATTTTTATCATCATTTCAAATCTGTTGGTGCCAACTGATGGCCACAGAACAGATGCAAACAAAATAGAACTCTATCTTTTCTACTGCTTTGTTGAAAAAATTCGTATTGACTTTGGATTTGTAATGTGCAAGTGTTTGCTCAAAATCAGCACTGACAGTCGTAGGAAGCTCTCTTATGGCAGATTTCTGACTCCTATCTTTGCCCATTTTTGAAATACCTTTTTCTGGAAAATCTCCCAAAGACAGTGCTTCATCAGTTTTCTCAAAAGCTTACTTTGAACGAAAGAACTTAAAATTTTTAGAAGGTCATTGGTGCTATAAGGAGACTGTGGCTGAGTCTAGAAGGAAAAATTTTCATGAAACCCCTTTCACTCCTAGGACTCCTCGTGATCAGTCAGACTTTGTCTCTCCTTTCACCATTCATTCTAGAAAGTCTGCTAGCATGTCCTTTGCATCCAATTCTGAAGTCATTTCCTTGCTTGAAGACCTCAAACAGCATGTCTTGCTTATTGAAGAAGGTCTTATGATGACCATGACCTTTGACCAACAATCCTCCTTCATTGAAAAAAGAAACCTTCTTGTCCCTCCAATACTTGAGAACAATGTAAATGAGCCAAGATCTGTGCCCACAGGACCAACTACTGGTACTGAGACCACACCAGCTTCCAGTTCTCAGCCCAAGGATAAAGGCAAGGCTCCAGCAACTGAGGAAGCATATGAAGATGATGATGAAGAAACTGAGGAAGAAGAGGACCCTGAACAGTATCGTCTGGCCAGGAGAAGGCTTGGATCATCAAAAATCACCATCTAGGCACTACTAGGTCACTGCACCTTAATCTAGGACTATAGTTCATCTTTTGCATTGCACTTTTGTACTAAGTGTTGAACACCTTGTCTGTACAACTGGATATTTTCTACTGTTTATGAATGTTATAACTAAGTGTTTGTTATGAATGTTTTGAATGATTGTTATGAATGGTTGTGTTGTTGGAATCTACTGAATGAATGTGTTTGTTATGAATGTTTCTGGAATTTGCTGAATGAATGAATGTGATTGGAATCTGCTGAATGATTGATTCCAAACTGTGATGAACATTGTTAATGAGTATATTGATAATATTTCTGATGGATCGTACTGCTGGTACCAAAACTGATACTCAATCTTGTGATGACAAAAAGGGGAGAATTGGATTTGGATTAGCACTGATGATGTAGAGTAACTAGTTAGGGGGAGTCAGTTTCAGGGGGAGTTGCGTTGGATCAGCTCTGATGGTGTTGATTGCGTTTCTTCCTGTACACTCATGCACTTCGTTAGGGGGAGCTGTTATATCCCAGTTCGTATATTTTTTTGCTCTATCCAAATGTTTTGTCATCATCAAAAAGGGGGAGATTGTTTATCTCAATTCATATATTTTGATGATTACAAAACATTTGGATGTTACTAAATACTTTTTGTAGAGATCCTTTCAGAAATGACACCAAACAGGAAAAGAAGATCAAAGAGGATGAAGAGTGCTGAGGATGATGTCGGACGCACAAAAGGAGATTATCGGACGTCCGACATCCTTTGAGTATCTTCGGACGTGTGAAGAACTCAGACTCGGATGTCCGAAGAAGACAAGCCAGGGCTTCTATGATTACTGATCATGATCGGACGCTCAACACCTGAGTATCGGACGTCCGACAACCGTTGCTGCTCTTCGGACGCAACACTCTGTACGCATCGGCAGTCCAAAGGAATTGAAGAAGAAGTTCCAAGTGTGCATCCTACCCTCGGACACATGATGATAAGGGATCGGACGTCCTAAGAGATTCAAGAAAACTTCCAGAACTCATTGATCTCGTTCGGACGCATAAAAACTAAACATCGGACGTCCGACAGCACCAACGGCTAGTTGACTCTTCAGTTGCCTTCTGCCCGTTGATAGCATTAATTGAAGAATTGTCTGGTCTCCTATAAAAAGAACAAAGTCAACCATCTCAGAAGAACTTTGCACATCAAGTGTACATCAGATCGTGAGTGATTCTAGTGCTAGAATACTGAAAAGGAACATTTGTACTCTTAGCTTGTGCAATCTTCTTGTAGTTTTTCAAGTGTGACACAGCTTCTTCAATAGTGTAGCTTAGTGAGGGTTCTTCGTGTATTTGTAAAACTTCCTTGCTTGACCAAGTGTGGTTTGGGGCAAGAAGGAAGTGATCCCTCCCTTATACACAAGATATTGGTTGCAAGACTGTTCAACTTGAAGTAACTTGATATATAAAAGTGTAATTCAAACCTCAGTTGTGTTTGAAGCCTGGTTTGTTTCTCTACTTTCATTTACTGCTTTTCTACATAAACTGTTCTCCTCTTCATCTCACGAATACCTGTGCTCTCTTGTTATCTGGTCAATTGGGTGGTCTTTGAGAAAAGAAAGGTAGACTTTTAAAAAAAAAGTGGCCTATATCTTAGCTGTTTTTTGAAAACCTAATTCACCCCCTCTTAGGTTGTCTTCGATCCTTACAGATGTAGGCCCCGGATCACCGGTACAACCTAAAACAAGCAAGAAAAACATGTTTGAGACTCAATCACGAGTCGATGTATTAACATTAAATTAGTAGTATAGGATACTCGAAAGTAAAATGGGGTGACCATTGTGTGGAACGTGAACAACTCCAAGATTCTTCCATTTCTAGTCAAATCCCTATCAATTCAAGACCACCCACATTTCTTAGCAATTGGGCAGCACTTCCTCATAATTTCTTCATATTTCCAACCAAACCATCAACACCCAACTCATACAAATACAACTACATGTTATAGGCTAGCCCATTCACCTCATTTAAGTCACAATACCCTTACGTATACATCAATTGCTAGTATAAAAGCCATGCATAGAAAAGCCCAAATATTCATAACCCTAAAACTGAAATTTCTTACAAAAGTAGAAATTTTCCGCAATGAACTACCATTAACACATAGAGGCTCTAAATTATTCAATATAAGGCTATCATACCTTAGCCAACTATCATCAACTATATAAAACAAAAAAATTCCCAATAAATAGAAAAATTAGATAACTCAACCATAATCATGAAATACTCCACAAAATTGCATCTTTAACTACTAACACCTACTAATTTCACATCATAACCAACAAAGAAACAATTCCTTAACCACTCACCTTATAAACACAAGATACAAGGTAGATGAGAGTCTTTCCCTCCAAACAAAACCACCAAGCACTTCAATTCTACCAAACAAGTAGGTTTTATGGAGAGATTAGGGAGATTAATGGTTGGATTTCAAGATTTGGGCAAGAAAAGAAGCAAAAGTTGAATAGCTCTCTTTCTTTTCTCTCCAAGGTTGGCCGGCCAAGATGAGGGGAAAATGAGGGGATTTTTGGGTCAAAATTGATTATTAGGAAAGGTAAGGAAAATGGTCAAAAGTCCAACATCCAATAGAAATGCAACATGTGGCCTCTTCAAGCTTATCTTACTTCTTTGTCTTGTAATGCTTAATTAAACTAGCTAACCTCTAATTAACTCATAAGACCATGTAATATAATCCCTGTATATCAAAATCCTTCACAGTAATCACATTTGTCGCACTCAGTGAACTAGTGGGTCCCACATCCACTGTACACCTCCATTACCACAAAAAATGACTTATTTCAAGAAAATGATTTAAATTCATATTTTCTCATAAAAATCCGCGGCCGAGGAGTCATGGTGAACGGGATGCAGCCTCTCTGCTGCACCTTAACATTGATCAGTGTTTGGCCTTGGAGCAAGGCTTCAAGCAAGTGAAGGGTAAGGGTACTCGGGCGGTTCGTCCGTCGGATAGGCAGTTACGGTCGGCGTCAACATCATCCAAAAATTCTTTCCAGGTTCTCCCCCATGATTAATGCACTTTTTTGGAATATTAGAGGAGTTTCTAAGGCTCCTAATTTGAGAAGGCTTAAAAAGTTAATTCGGTTGTATAGTGTTCAGTTGGTAGCTATTTGTGAACCAAAACTAGATGTGGTGAGCATTGAGTCCATGCGTGTTCGGTTATCGTTTGATGTCGTGGTGGTGAACTTGTCAGAAGACATTTGGGTTTTTATAATTTACTGTTTGTTTGTTCGATTGCTGGAAATTCTTCTCAGCATATTTCGCTTTGGTGCATCATCCGTGGATGCCCCAAGCCTTGCGCTTCTCGTTTGTGCATGCCAAGTGCACAGTGGAGGAGCGGCAAGGCTGTGGCAAGCTTTATTGCTTGAGAAACCGGCGTCTCAACCATGGTGTATCTGCGGGGACTTCAATGTGACCATCTCTCCTCATGAAAAGAAGGGGGCCGTCCTTTTGGCGTCTCGGAGGGATTGGAACTCATGTCTTTTATGGAGGCTGCTGAGGTGTTTGATGTGGCTTCTCAGGTTCTAGTTTCACTTGGTGCAACAATCGTCACGGAAGGGCTAGAATCTGGAAGAGGTTGGATAGGCTTCTAGTCAATGCGGATGCTCGACTTACCGGCGCATTTCGGTATCTCACTTAGCACGGCATCCATCCGACCATGCACCGCTAAAAATTTCCTTTGCCTCACGGACGGATGACATGCCACGTGCTTTCCGGTTCCTTAATGTTTGGACATCTAAACTGTCTCTTATGGAGGTCATTCACACAGCTTGGCAGGAGGATCACCCATGTGGGTTCTGTCTTCCAAACTGATACATACTAGACGTTCCATCCAGGAGTGGAATAAGCACACGTTTGGGAACATATTTGATGCGTCACGTGAGGCTGAGTGTGCAGTGTGTAGGGCAGAGGCAAGGTTGGAGACTGAAGGATCAGATGAGGCTCAAGTGGAGCTTAATCTCGCACAGGCGCAGATGAATCATGCTTTGTCAGTCGAAGAGCAGTTTTTGGAGGCAGAAGGCAAGGGTGAAATGGTTACGTCACGGGGATGGCAACTCCAAATTCTTCCATGCTGTCTTGAGGCAGAGGCGGTGCAAGGGGTCATTCATAGGATTAGGAACGTGCATGGTGCTTGGGTCGAAACGGACGACGAGATATCCAATGAAGCTGTCCGTTATTTTTCAGAGCTATTTTTCTGAGCCGGCTGGCATGCAATCGATCTGTTGCATGTGATCCCATCCATTGTCACGCTGAGGAGAATGCTCACTTGGAGTCTGATCCATCTTTCGAGGAGGTGCGGAGGATCGTTTTTGACATGGACGGTGAGAGTGCTGCTGGTTCGGACGGTTTCACCGGGTTTTTCACTTTTGCTTGGGAGGTGATTGGGCAAGATATTTATAATGCGGTGTTGAGCTTCTTCTGCGGGGTGGAGTTACCTCGCTTTGTCACCTCTACTTCTATATATCTTGCTCCCGAAAGGCCCGAACCCTCAGGATTTCTCGCAGTTCAGACCGATTAGTCTGTGCAATTTCTTCAATTAAAGTGTTGTCCAAGTTACTGGCGTTAGATTGGCTGCTCTTGCCGAGATGATTTCGCCTCAGCAGACTGGTTTGTGAAGGCAGAAACATCTCGGAAATTACCTCCTTGCTCAAGAGTTATTTTCAGGAATGCGCAGGTCTTCAAGGGGTGGGAATGTCGCATTGAAGTTGGATATGGCCAAGGCGTATGAGAGGGTGTTGTGGTTAGTCTTGGTGAAGGTTCTGCGGTGTTTCGGTTTGGAGAAAGAGTTATTGACATGGTTTGGCGACTGATTTCCAATGTATGGTTCTCGGTGATCATTAATAGAGCTCCCTATGGGTCTTCAGGTCGAAGAGGGGGCTGCGTCAGGGGGATCCGTTGTCACCTACTTTTTTGTAGTTGGAGCGGAGGTGCTTTCTAGGTCTTAAACGCCCTAGTGCTTCACGCAGGCTTTCAGGGATTCACGGTTCCACGGGGGTGTCCGGCCGTCACGCATCTGGCCTTTACGGATGACGTGTTGATTTTTGCTAATGGTTCGGCTCGAGCCTTGCAAAAGATCGTTCGGGTGCTGGACTTATAGCAACAATCATCGGGCCAGCTTATAAATAGGCACAAAAGTGGGTATGTGGTCCATCCTTCTGTCTCGGGTGACCGTAGAGGGGTAATTGAGCGTATCACTGGCTTTCCTAGACAGCACACACCAATCCGCTACCTGGGGTTCCCACTGTTTTTTGGAAAGAGTAAGGCCGCTCATTATGGAGACGTGAGCCAGACGATTCTTGGGCGAATTCTTTCGTGGAAGTCCAAGTTTTTATCTCAGGGAGGCAAGATCGTGCTCATAAAACATGTGCTATCATCTATTCCTTTGCATCTACTTCGGCTTCGGTGATCCCGGCTTCAGTGTTCACTGTCATCGAAAGGGTTTGCTCGAATTTCTTGTGGGGTTCGACAGATAGGGGAAACCGGTATCATTCGATCCGATGGGATCACTTATGCTTTCCGAAGGAGGAGGGGGGCATGGGGTTAGATTGCTCAGGGACGTGTATACGGCCTTCTCTCATAAGCTGTGGTGGAAGTTTCGCACAGGTTCTTCTCTCTGGGCCGTTTTCTTACAAGCAAAATACTGTCGATGCTGCCATCCCTGTCAGGTGGAGTATAAGGGCAGGGTCGTCTTCTACCTAGAAACGAATGGTCAATGCGAGCCGACAAGTGGAGTTAGCCATGCGGTGGCTGGTTAATGCGGGAACCTGTGACTTCTGGCACGACAACTGGTTGGGCTCTGGAGCTCTGTATCTTAGAACTCCGGTCAACGGGGCATTGACATTCAAGGACTTTATCAGAGACGGGAGGTGGGATTCACTGGTACTAGCCCAATATTTCCCAAGTGACATCATGGCACTAATCTTGCAGCACCCAACCCCAGAGGGAGAGTGGCCAGACGAGGTTGTTTGGATGCCAACGCCTTCTGGGTAGTTTTCCTTGTCATCCGCTTTTCAGGAGGTGAGGCAAGCTCGGAATGCTTCCTGGCTATTTTCCGCATTTGGCATCTCTCAAATCCCACTGAAGGTGTCATTCTTTATGTTACGGCTTCTGAGGGGGAGGCTACCGTTGGATGACATACTGGGGATGTGACAGCCCCACCTTCCCCTAAGGCGAACCAAAGAGGTTAGCGGACTGCCTGCCCAGCTCTCGCCAGGACTAACGGTGCAGTATAAAGCGATCTATCATGTTTGAAACTTATAACGCGCGCAACAAGGCAAAAGGGCAAAATATCCCAAAATAAAAGAAACGAACTCCAGAGTCGGCTATGAATAGTAACCGACCCGTCCGAAACCCAACCAAGCATCGAAATACATATGCAACATAACATTAGCCATTTACAAGCCACAACGGCAAGCCAAAACCATTCACTAAGGAAGTACACATTCGATTTGCCTATCAAAAGGAAATGAACCCGTTATACATTAGGGTTTCACTTCAAGAGCAATACAAAAGAATTTACATGCTCAATTCGGCAATTGACTATCCAATCCATTCTCAAAAGTAATTATCACCCTGTAAGGAAAACAAATAACACGGAATGAGCTAAAGCCCAGTGGTATACCACCCAATAAGCAATCAAAGTCATATAAGAATGAACTTCATTTAAAGTGCACAAATAAGCAATGAAGCAAAACGGTAAAAGGATACGGTCGGCTCTCAAGAGCCCATTTCCACGCTTGCAATCTTGATCCAACCTCATTGACCCTCCGTCAATGTCAAAAGTATCAAACCGTAGACCTCACTTTACTTCCATTCCTTCCACCCAACATACCCCAACCGGGCCCGCACTCCATTCAGTAATATTTTGGTAATACTCGAGTTTACCGGAACCAAGGGTCTCATTACCACAAGGTTCCCCAGTACAGTCCCCGTGGCAATTCAATCTTCACGACCAAGCCCTCGCCGGCTCGATCCAATTGACTACCAAACGGGGTTGAGCTCAGTAATGCAGTAAGGCCGTTGGACATCGTCCAAACGACATCAATTCAGTTTCCATGAAATGGAATTCACCAACCAATATATCAAGTTCAGTAATGCAATAAAACGGTAGCCATTCAGTGACAATATCAAAAGAGGTGAGGGCGGTCAAGTACACCCTCACCTTAATCAATTTCAATATTCGAGTAAGCCATCAAGGCATCACATAACATTTAACAAAGCCACATAGTAACAATTTAGTGAGTGGTATACTCACCAAGCAAGTAAGTGGTATTTCATGTACCACGATCACCAAGCCGTCGTGCACTACCTTCAAGCCCTAGAACATATAACACATACAATGAGACTCGATAACGAGTCATATAGCAACGCTAAACACAACCCCAATAGGGTTTCATATACATAAATGAGCATAATAGCAAACCAGAAATTAGAAAATGGCCTTAGTCTTGGCCCCAAATAGAAAACTGTTTTACACTCATTATGCGGTAATGGCGTCAAATTCTCTACGGTTATCGGATGGGGGTGTAAGACCCACCGTTTCGAAGCTATGAAACAGGGCTACAATAATGTAGAAGACCACTCAATCCAGTTCGTAACACAACTAGGTCAAATATGCCAAATACTAACCCAGAATTCCTAAAACAGGTTTGCAAAACACAAAAAACTGTAATCGGTATATCTCAGTCCATACAAGTCCAAATGCCGAAATTCCAAAGGCATATGTTAGCTAAGACACTCGGATACATTTCATCAGAAGACACCAACTCCAAAATCCAAACCAATTCCAGTCAAAATGGCCAATTACTATCGCAGTTTTCGCATTCTGTCCAAAGCAGAACAGCTACAGTAATTTCGTCATAACTCATTCTACATTAATCCAAATGACCTGAAATTTTACAGGCACTCTCAATCACATCAATACCTACAACTTTCATGTTTTGAGCAAAGTCTAATTCGGCCTCTAACCCAGTGATCTAAAACCGGACAGAATTGGGATTTAAGAACCCTAACTTTTCAATTTTCACACCAAATCCAAAATTGGTTGCATTTATCCACTTTCACACCCACTAGAGTCATTTTAGTCCATTGCCAATCATCACAACAACCACACCATCATAATCCAATTAAACCAGAAAAATCATCATAAAATGGAAAACTTCACCAAAACAAACCAAATCAAGAAACAAATCATATATTCCTTCTCTCATGCCCCATTAAGCACAAAATAAGTCATTAGAGGTAGTAGGTGTTTCAAGCTTCACTTACCAAGAACCAAGAGAGAGGAGGATGTTGGGCACCTTAATCCTTCAAACAAAGTTCACCTCTACACTCACTAACACTAGAAGATAGGATTTTATGGAGTGAAATGGATGGAAGCAAATGTTTTTGGTTGATTTGCACCAAGTAGAAGCTTGAAAATTGAAGAAATCTCCTTCCTTTCTTGCTCAAGGTGGCCGGCCAACAAGGAGAGAAAAATGGTGATTTTTTGGTGAATTTTGGATATTTAATCCCTTGGTCAAATAAGTCAAGACAATGAATAGTAATTCTTAAAAGTTCAACCAATAAGAAAGTGACATGTGTCACTCTATTAAATGCATCCTTATCATTCTTTTCTCTCTCACATCAATCACTTCACACACCCTACTTATCTCTTAATACCCGATAAACTTTTAACAGTATCCGAAACTTAACCTTATTGGCCGAATTTTTCCGAACTTTTCGCACTAGTGGGTCCCACGTCCAATATTTATTCTTAATTTTCTAAAAACTCACCAATGCTAGAAAAATCATCTTAAAACTATAATTGCTCATAAAATCCACTAAGAAAATATTTCTAAGCCAGAAAATGCAGAAAACATGCAATTAAGGGGAAAAAACCCTAGGAAAATAATTAGGGTTTTACGGGTTCTCACACTCTCCCCCCTTAAAAGAATTTCGTCCTCGAAATTTCTCACCTTAATTTCCGAAAAGGTTTGGGTATTTCTTTCGCATTTCCTCTTCCATCTCCCAGGTAGCTTCCTCAACTCCGTGGTTCTCCACAGCACTTTCACTAGCGGAATCCGCTTATTTCTGAGTTCTTTGACTTTTCGATCGAGTACTTGAACTGGTTTCTCTTCATAGGCCAGTGATTCATCTACTTCGATATCCTCCGGTTGCAATACATGGGATGGGTCAGGATGGTACTTCTTTAGCATCGAGACGTGAAATACATCGTGGATTCGAGAGAGACTAGACGGTAGTTCCAATCGATACGCGACCGCTCCAACCCTCTGAAGGATCTTGTAGGGTCCGACGTACCGTGGTTGAGTTTCTTTCCTTTCCCCGCTGTAAGACTTCGTAAGGGTGTGATCTTAGAAATACTTGATCTCCAACTTCAAATTCCAAATCTTCTTCGGTTATCCGCGTAGCTCTTTTGGCGACTCTGGCGTTTGAAGCGTTGCCGTTATCAACTTGACCTTCTCGTGAGCCTCTTCCATCCACGGAATAGTTGTCGGGTCTAGTGCTTTCTTTTCACCA